TTGATTGATGTAATTATCCTGATGTAGTTGTCCTTTGTTGCGATGTAAATGAAATTTCGAAGTATTCCAAACATTCCTTTTACGGTTGGCATTAGAATATTTTTAAATTCCACACATGCATATAACAAGGAATATATAAAATTTCTTTACCTAACACTTTCAAGCAAAGTAGCAGTGTATTGTATCAACATGACACACAATGATTCGGTGCCTACAATAATAACAGCGCCTAGAAAGTATACGATTTCCTGACATATCGTCATTAGGGACAAGTATTCATAATATAGCTGGCACTAATATAATAACGGGGATTGTTAGCCAATTAATTTCATAGCCAATTGTCGTTGCAAGGAGTGAGTCTCAGTCTACGAAATGTATACGTAAAGTCTAGAGAAAGAATTCACCTTCAAAAAAAAAGTAAAATCTTCTTTCTTGCAGTTCTTTCTTTGCTGCTTCGTAAATTGTTTATTATTGATGGACGATTATTGGTTCGTCGTCTGTTTGTGACAGTAGAATCGCACAAAGGCACAAACATCACTAGTTACGCTTTAAAAGGGTGGTTCAAGAATACTTTACAGAGTTATGAATAAAAATCTCTATTAAATACAATTTCATTATTACACGGTGATGAAAAATATTTAGTTTTCAGTGGTTGCGTTACTTTATACATTCTATAAATATACAAATCAGTGTGTCACAATTTTCTTTTAATTATTTTTATGATTACGAGTAAGAAGAAACTGATACCTAGTGTCAATTCGTAATTTCTTCCGAATGAGGCTAAACAGCAAAATTAGATCAGATCATAAGATTCACTAAATGGTTATTCCTGTTGAAATGAAATTGAAGCTCACAAAATTTTCAGATTTTTCCAAAACTGACAGCCTGCAATTTGGGATGGTAGCCAGTACACGTTTCTTGTGTAGAAATTGAACTACTTTTTAATAGTTGACTACTATTTAATTGAATGAACTACTTTTTAATAGTTGACTACTATTTAATTGAATATTTTTTCCTTTCATGCATCATCATGGATCAGAGTATTGCTCCTGCATGGAAGATATCATCATAAAATACGACACTGAAGTTTTCACCAGCTGCAAGGTAAATAATGTTTATAGATCGCTACTGTGCCTTTGTCAAATAAGAAATATTAACAAATATTAATTATAAACGAATATACCGTTGAAAAGCCCTCTACTGTGCCGATGTAACAATTGTAAATGCTGAACGAGAATGTCTTGCTGGTTCTCAACATCATGTTCAGCAATGACTTTTGAGTTGCTACAGTAGTTTTGTACCAGTTGTCGTGGAAACTGGAATCATTGGTAAAATTTCTTCTGACACACATTCAAAATGATCGAATCGACCGTTTAGTGATCGAATGCTTACATTTCCATTGAAAAATTGTTATAATAATTGTATGAGTGTTCGCATAAGTAATTCATGTAATACATGTACATTAATTCGCAAACGATAAATAAGATGCTGGCAAGTGCTTCTTCGAATTCGGATGAAAACAATTCGGAATACGATGCGGAGAACTGGAAAATGAATAAAATCATGGAATCTGGCGTTTCTCGTTTCAACAAATTATTACGAAGACCGTATTAAAAACAAAGGTATCGTATCAAGGTCCACGAAAAATGGCGGAAAATTTCAGGTCTAAGATACACATATACGAATATACTTACGCGAAATAAATTAATTGCTAGAGAAGTGATAGCA